TTATAATTTTATTTAATCCAAGTAATTTGATGAGAGATAAAGGAAAAATAATTGTTACAAAAAAATTGAAAAAATATAAATAAGAAAAAAGAATATTATTTTATATTATATTTTTTAATTTTTAAATCTTACTTTTATATATGATTACCTCTTAATTTAGACTTTACGATCTTATTTATAATTACTGCCAATTATTTTAGTCTTTTAATTATTTCATGTCCCTAATTACTCGCTAATTAAGATAATCATTTGATTTAACTTTATAAATTGTCCTTAAACAATTTTTTACTAACCTAAAAACTTCGGTTTTTATTTTTATTTTTTTACTCGGCCAAAATTTTAATATAATATGGGAACACAATTTTGAAGATCAACTTGAAATTAACTTTAAATCATAGAAATAAATATGTATTTATGTAAAATTTATGGAAATAAATATTTTTGAAGAAATACATGGATAAAGTTTTAGAACATTATTTGAAAACTATTAAAAAAATATCTTTATACTTTTATCTCTAAAACTACTTTTTAAAGAGCTCTTTTGCAAGACATCATAAAATACTTCATATCAATTTGCACCAAGGAAAGAAAAAAAAAAAAACTTTTAAAATAAAATTTTTTTACAGGATAACTTTTAAAAAATTATAGGAAAATTATTTTTTAATTTTCATTTATTCCTTAAATTTTAAAATTTTACACTTTTTTGAGTTTATTTTTTATTTAGTTTCTAGATTTCTTGTACGTTTACTCTGAATAGCACTTGATCTTTGAGGTTATTTTTTAATTAATAAATGAAAAATAATTATGACGTAAAATTGCAATTGATTCTAATAATAGAAAAAAAAAATCAATCTAATTATTTTTAATTAATTAATAAAATAATCTGTGTTTATGTTTTCCTCCTTTATAGGCGCTTGATTTTAGAAAAAAAAAACAATTATTGTTTTTATAATATTTGTTTTGGGTCTCATTGGAAATATATATATATTTTTTGGACTAAATGAAAAAGGACCAAAATACCTCCGCTGCAATAAGACCACACCACACCACACCACCAACCATTTCCAATAGTCGACCAGTCATAAAATTTCAAATATAAATAATTTAAAATTGTTGATTTAGAGTGTACTTGGACCTCGTGGCCTAAGTGAGCTACTTTGTGGCACTGTGTCAGAGTAGGCGAGCATGCCGAGACGAATGTCTCGGACGACTTCCTTAGAAATGGGTTTTTCAAGGATAGTACCGAGTACGAATGTCTCAAACGACTTCCTTAGAAATGGGTTTTTCAAGGATAGTACCGAGTGGCACGGGTGTGCCGGTGTTGCACCCCAGACCGTGTGTTGGAGGTTGCTACATACACCCACTATTCGGCACGGTATCTGTAAATGACATGACATGGGCATGAGAGGGCCAATGCCTCGATAGAACCCAGATGGATGGATGTGTACGAGCAGTCTCGATGAGATGAACGACATGTGGACCCATTCTCGATGGCATGACTGAACAAGTTATGGTGGCCGACGATATATGGACCCTATCGATGGGGATCAAGATGACAAGATGAGATGCGATGTTGTATTGAGAGACCTTGGCCCCGCACAGAGACAAGGTCGAGCCAAATGACTTGGTCTAGTATAGAGGTGAGTCGAATGTGTCGTAGACGATTGAACATACATATGCAAGCGGCATGTGTGGTTGAACAAAGCATTTAAGACGAACCCTAGAACCAAGCCCTTCACTACCAACCATATTATAGCTGTGGTTCAGGAAAGACAAAGGCAATACAAGACTGACCAAGTTAGTACTGCCCCAGCAATCCAATCAAGGATGTATGAAAGCGCCATTTCATGATTGATTATGTTCTTGTAGGATTATCATCCTCTGACCCATTTAATAATCTCTGAAAATAAGAGAAGAATCGACAGCATATGATAGTGTTATTAAGCCCCATGATTCATGGAAGTGAAAAGGCTAGACTAGACATTCACTATAGAATCAACAGAATCATTCCACGACAAAACTTCCTGAAATTAACACAATAACAGAAGCTGTTCTCATTGCAAAGAAAATCATGCTTGATAATCAAGTCTCAACAATAGAATTGCAGTGCAAAAGTTTCTATCACCCGACCCGATAATCTAACTTAACACGTGATTCGTTGTCTCATTAGTTGTCTCTGGCCAGAAAAGAAGAAAATGGAGACATAATCTACCTTAGCTTAAGACCTTGGCTTCTCCTTCTTTTCCTTGAAAAGAGCAAGAAGAGATACACCTGAAACCTTCACCACCTTAAATCTGACTCCGGGAATATCACCGACAGCGTGTCCTTTTCGACCAAATCCAGCAATGAGAACCTCGTCCTGTTCATGCCAATAAATATTAAGTAAAATAGAGGATAATAGTAACGAAAATCCCAAGCTTCCCTCGAATACTTACATTCTCTTCAATGTAATTTAAGCAACCATCGTTCGGAACAAACGCCGCAATCTTCTTCCCGTTCTTAATAAGCTGAACTCTAGCACACTTTCTGATAGCAGAGTTAGGCTGCTTAGCCTCAATACCACTGCACATTGCACCAGAAAACTATTTATTAAATGGAATTTTGCTAATTACGCCTCAGAAAAGAACAGCAGCAATAAAATCATCTTACATCTTTTCTAGAACAATGCCTTTGGCATGGGAAGATCCGGCAAATGGTTTCTTCCATTCATTTCCAAGATGGGATTTCTTGTACGCTTTGTCAGCCCACCTTTGTCTTCTACGGTGGGACTTCAGCTTGCGACCCGCTCCCATTCCACGAGTTTTCCTGTAAGATATTACTACTACTTTAACAAAGAGAATTCAGCTGCAGATTTGCACAGAACATAGACCATTTTCCCAATTCCCTGAAAGCCTCGTCAATTTTGCCTCTAGATTTAAGGCTATTAACTAATAAAACATTTAGCAGTTGAATCGAAGTCATAACGATGTTCATACCATCAAGAATGCTTGTACCAAGCAACGCCAACCTTTCCAGTGGTAAAGAAACGACATTGATTGTTCAAAATGGAGGAAAAGTTCGTTAAATTAAGCTAGAATCATAGCCACCAACTTGTTCATATTAAAGTTAGGCGCACAGTCGTATCCTACAACCTTAAGCCAGATACAACTACTGTTCTTCCCACATGTAGAACGATAGTAACGAAACAATAAGGAAATAAATCGGCGACTCCCGTCAACAGAGTAACTTCTATTTTTCGATCTTCTAAATGGATATGGTCCAGTAAAGCCAAGCAAATCTCGACTAAATTGTCTATTTCTTTCCCTAGAACATTCATCTCGATAAACAATTCGGGAACACCAAAATAGGATGGAAAGAGGACATACCCCATGGTGAGTGCGAGAAGAGGATCTTCAAGTAAGTACGCCGGTAGAGACGATGCTGGTTTGATGAGGCCGCCGCACCGTCTGTGAATGAGAAACCCTAGGCTTGTTGCGTAGCTTTTATACTGAGGTTCTTCGCTAAGCCAATCCTCGCTGAAATACAACTAATTTGCCACGTCCGCATCGCCTTGTTAATTTTCTTTTTTCTTTTTTGAGGATTTCTCGTTGTAAATTGCAAATTAATAAATAAAAATATTAATTTTTAATAACGGAAGAAATTGATTTTTCCCTAAATTTGACTAGAAGATCATTCATTAATTGTGAAATCAATTTCTACTGCTTACACTCCTAGATCTCGAGCACTACTTCAACACTGTTTTTTCTTGGCAATTGAGAGAAGAGTGAAAATAATAGGAGAGGGCTTCTCACTAAAACTTTCGACTCGCTGTCAAAAGCTCGAAGACCTACTCGTTAGAATGAATTTCTGAACGAACTGCTCACTATAACTTTTGACTCGTTGTTAAAAGCTCGAAAACCTACTCGTTAGAATGAATTTCTGAATGATAAGTGCTCACTAAAACTTTTGACTCGTTGTCAAAAGCTCGAAAACCTACTCGTTAGAATGAATTTCTGAATGAAAAGTGTCATCACGAACTAGCTAGGATTCTTTTAGGTCAGCTCGTAGCCCCTTCGTGTTTCTCTAAAGGGCAAACATCGGCACAATAAGCTTATGGATGAGAGATATGTTATTCGTTGTCTTTTTCGAATTCCTTTTCCCCGAGTGTGAATCATGATAAAGGGAAAAAACTCTGAATTTGGTGGAAAACCCGCTACTAATTAAACTAAGCGGAAGCCGAGATAGGAATTAGAGTCAATGGAATTGCAAAACATACCTTGTTGGAGAGGTTCACGTTTTGAAAAAAATTCGAGACCTTATACCAACATAAATCTTTTTAACATGTTAAGTTATAAGCTTCTTAACAAAATTCAAAGATTGAGCCACCAAAAAAAAGGAAGGTGCACTTTCGTTATAAGATATAGTTTCGATTCATTCATGTACTTCTCATTTACTTGAACGTCACAAATTCACTATCATTAAAATCTAGTTCAAGTCGCCAAGGAATATCGCTGATAAGCATCGATAATGCAAAAAAAAAAAAAAAAAAAATTCCTTTTGAGTTCAACGTAACATTTAGAGTGATGAATCAAAATCTGGTTAGTCAGTAGTTCCTCTAGCTTTGTCGATACATTCTGAGAGAGGTCTCTCGAGAGCGTAGAAGCAACAACTAAATATAGTAATCCAGCATCAAATATGAAGAAGATTTAGAAAGTCTTTTCCCAACCACGGGAAATACTTGGAGGCTTCTAGGGAATACAACTCCTAGCACAGCATGCACTCCAAGAGGCTCAACAGAGAGAAGGCCTGAAAAATGAGGAAAGATGGCAGATTCTCCACGAGGAGAGTAGCAGATGCAGATGCTCTGTCTATATAATGAGATAATTTAAACTGATAGTTAGTCAAATACCAAATGTAACGGTCCAAGTCCACTGCTAGCAAATATTGTCCGCTTTAGCCCATTAGGTATCACCGTTAGCCTCACGATTTTAAAACACATCTGCTAGTGAGAGGTTTTCACACCCTTATAAGAAAAATTTCGTTTCCCTCTCCAACCGATGTGGGATTTACCATGGGTACCAGACTTGTAGAGGTGATCCAAGAACAGCTGGAGGAACATGTCTCAGACAAATAATGTTGCCTCAATCAGTCAACTGTTTGTTCATCACATTCCAATGGGGGAATCAAAGAAAACCTAGCTATCAACAAAAGATGAACTCTCCAAGAAAGGATAGTACAGGAGGAGTACTCACAATCGAGCTAGATACTTACTCAAATGTTAAGAATATAAATAAAAGATCAAATAGATCCTGCCTAGAGTAAACTTTTGAGTATAGCAATAATCTGTTGGTAGTCACTTCTAGGATCTCATGTTAATTCCTGAACAATATGTGTATTTTCTAGCAATTCCTAAGTAATTGGAAGAACATGATGATGACATTATATCATCTTCAAAATCCATCTGAAACTAGACCTGTTATGAAGCTCTAGACAGTTGATTTTCATTGTAATGAAGAACACTCAGAGATTATCCAAAAAACAAAAGAAGAGCGTAAATTATATCTTACTTGGTATGTTTCACACTTTTTCAGGATTTTCGCGGCACTGTTCTGGACTCCATCTTGTAACTGTGCGCTCTTCAATGGAGTAATTGTCCAAACAAGAAGGAGAAACAGAACCGCTTCCATTATCATTGACGCTAAGAACTAGCAGCGTTTTTGCAACGCTTCCACAAAGCCGAATTGTGCATAAAAAATCAGACCAAACTCTTAATCGCACATTTTCATTACTGCCTCCTCCTTCGGACAACACAAGAACAGCAAATTCAGAGTGGACGAGAGCCGGATGGTGACGATAAGCCACAAAATCAACGCCATATTGAGATCCAGGTCGCACAATCCAATTCTTCATTCGAAGATGTTGATAAGCCATGTAAAACTCAGGGAATGTAGCCTTTCGCGACTTCATATCCTGCCACAGCTCTTGAACATTCTTTTCACGATCTTGTCCATCGACAATTTTGAGGCAATTCAAATGATAGGACAAGTAAAAAGCCTCCTCCATTCCGAATTGAAACCATTGCTTATCCTTCTCGGCGGTAATAATTGTTCGGCCGAAACAAGCGCGATTAAGAAGATCGGTTTGTTCTTCATCGGCTTGATAAAGTATACTACAACCAGATAATAATCCTTGCGCGTCCGACTGTGTCAGAGAAGATTGAAGCTGAAGTACAATCTTCGACATGGGATCTGCTAGAGCTCTGGCTTCTGAAGCCTTCCCTTTCCATCTCGGCCCCATTTCTCCGGCGGTGAAACAGTGAAATCGACGGCGTTCGAATGTCGAATAAGAAAGAAGATGAAGGAGGAGGAGGGGGAGGAGAAGAGTTATGGGCCTGCTCGGTTCAAGTTGAGGTGAACATTGGCTCATGAAAATGACCGACTCGATGACCAAACCACTGGCACCGGTTCATAAAATTGGACAGCCCAATGCCTAGGGTTGCCAAAACTAGCGAAATTACGGCTAGGGTTCTTTTAGTACAATACCGGGTTGAAATTAAAACCTAATTCTCGATCGAGATATAATTCAATTATTATTATTAAACTTGTCAATTTCCCTATCTCGTCTCGTTCTCTTGAACTATGTATATGTCTCAACTTAACTTCAATGTACATTTTTAGTGTGTTAGATGATGCACCGTCCTCCTTAGTCATATCATGACATGACACTTCTCAATCTTGGCTCTCACGTGACTGGATAGACACCATTTGAGGATTGCCCCTTATTTGTCTTGATGTGTAAGGTCACAACCTACTTTCTACTCATTGGTCGCATCATGACACTTCTCAATCTTGACTCTCACGTGGCTGGATAGACACCACTTGAAGGTTGTCTCTTGTCAATCTTGATGTGTAGGGTCACAACCTATTTTCTCCTCCTCAGTCTCATCATGACACTTTTCAATCTTAGGTCTCACGTGGCTCGATAGGCGCTACTTGAGGGTTGCCCATTATCTATCTTGATGTGTGGGGTCACAACCTACTTTCTCCTCTTCAGTCGCATCATAACACTGTTCAATCTTGGTCCTCACGTGGCTGGATATGTGTCATTTGAGGGTTGCCCCTTATCCATCTTGATGTGTGGGGTCACAATCTACTTTCTCCTCGGATGCATCATGACACTTCTCAATCTTGGTCTTCACGTGGCTGGATAGGCTCTACTTGAGGGCTGCTCCTTATCTGTCTTGATGTGTGAGGTCACAACCTACTTTCTTCTCTTTGGTCGTATCATGACACTTGAAGGTCGCCCCTTGTCTATATTGATGTGTGGAAGTCACGACCTACTTTCTCTCAGTCAAGTTGTGACACTCTTCCCCACTTAAAGATTACCGAATTACCGAACTGTTCAGGAAAGGAAAAGAAAAGGAAAGCTAGCAAATTTCAGGTGAATGGAAAGAGTCAAGAGAGTGCATTAACTACTACCATATAAGTTATTAATAATAGCATTCTGAATTCAAAATGGCCGTGGTAAAAACATGACAACTACAATCAATCCTCATTTCTATTTCTGCGGTTTCTTCCAAAGCACCCCTATCTTTCTCAGTACATTCCCATTTTTCTTTTTCAGTAAATCATCATCTGAATCTACCGAATATAGCGGACCGATCTTACTGGTAATGCCATTGTAGTTGCTGTCCATCGATCCCGTTCTGCCTACCGATACCCCGTTGCTTCCAGCCGAAATCATGGCTGCAGCTGCCTCCGCCGCCTTCCTCCATTGCTCCGACTGCACTTTCAGCGTTCTTAGTTCCATCTCCATTTCTGCATTGGCTGCTTGTGCTGCTTCGAGTTCGGCCACTCCTATGGATCTCCTGCTCGTGCTTCGATCAGCTTCTTCTGCAAGGATTCCGAGTTTAGCTTGGGCGCCTCTATCTATTGTTGTCGATGTCAATGTAGCTAGTTCGGTTGTCGTTTCGTCCTTTACATTCGTCTTGATTGTGTCCCTTTTACTGATTTCAGATATCAGCATTTCATTCTCCTCTGATATGCTTTGGAATTCTGTCTCTTTGTCTAAGAGATTAGTCTTTAAATCTGCAATGCAGTTCTTCAAATCCTCCAGCTCTTTCTCTAGTTCGTACACTCTGTGGCTCGATACGCTCTTCTCGAGCTTACAACTCAGCTCCAAATTCTCTTCCGTGATGCTCCTTAATTCGGTTTCCCTCTCGAGTAACTTCGCCTTGAATTCGTCTATTTCAACTCTTGATTTCTCTAACTCGTTCTTGAGTTCAATCTCTCTTAAGTTCGTATCAGATTTCACATGTTTAGCTTCTGTGACAGATCTTGGTTCAAGCGTACGTTGACGTTGTTCCCCCTCGTACTCTACCTCAACAGCCTCTCGAGCGGATTTCAACTGCTCGACCTCTGACTGCAGAGAGCAAATATCAGTTTCAAGCTGTTCTGACTCCCTTGTCTCATCTTCTGGTATTTCCAAGTTTTTTCTGCTAGCATTTGCAAGGGCGGGTTCGAGTTTACAAACAAGCATTTCGAGTGAGTTTACGTATTCCCGAGACTCGTCCAACTCCAAAGTAACCGAATTCCAATCTTCAAAGGCTTTCGTAGAATCGGATCCAAGCAACTCCGCCATTTCTTTAGCGGTTTCCACTTGAGCCATAGTTTCACTTATAAGTGCTTGGACCTGAGTTTCAGATACTTCACAATCTTGGAGTTGGTTTTTCATGCTTGCCATAAGGGAGAGAGTTTCTGACAGTAAGTTCTTCAATTTACTGTTCTTCTCATTTACAGATCCCACATGGTTCATCTGAAAAGTTTTGGATTCATCAACTACCTGAAGTTTGATCTTAAGATGCTGCATTATGTTTACCATGGCTGAGGCGACCGAGTCGACAGGTTCCGACTTCTCGGTGACCTCAGATGTAGAGTGCAGAGATTGATCATCTTCTTGTGCTCGCTTGGAAGAAGATGGCCGATGCTCCTTTGCATTTGACGGTGCGCTGGACACCTCGGCATCTACTCGGACTCGGTCCTTCCGTGACTTGCACGAATGTAGTTGCTCCTTTTCCTTTTTAAGATCCTTCTGAAGGATAGAAATCTGAGCTTCCAACTCGGATATTCTGGTTTGGCACTTCTTCTGAACAAGATAAAAAACAGATTAGACATTACATTACTGCAACTTTTTAACAAGTCATGAAACTCGATCGACAAAGCATGACTAATTATTTGCTACCGCTCAAGCCCACCGCTAGCAAATATTGTCCCTCTTTGGACTTTCCCTTTCAGACTTTCCTAAAAAGTTTTTAAAACGCTACTACTAAGGAGAGGTTTCCACACCCTTATAAAGAATGCTTTGTTCTCCTCTCCAACCGATGTGGGATTTCACAATCCACCCCCCTTCGGGGCTCAACATCCTCACTGGCACACTGCCCGACATTTGGACTAATACCAGTTGTAACAGCCCAAACCCACTGCTAGTAGATATTGTCCTCTTTGGGCTTTCTCTCAAGGTTTTTAAAACGCATCTGCTAGGGAGAGACTTCCACACCCTTAGAAAGAATGCTCTCCCTTCAGGACCCAACATCCTCCTTGGCACCGCTCAGTGTCCACCCCCCTTCGGGGCTCACTGTCCTCACCGGCACACTGCCCGGTGTCTAGCCTAATACCATTTGTAACAGCCCAAACCCACCACTAGCAGATATTGTCCTCTTTGGGCTTTCCCTTTCGAGATGCCCCTCAAGGTTTTTAAAACACGTCTGCTACGGAGAGGTTTCCACACCCTTATACAGAATGTTTTGTTCCCCTCGCCAACAAATGTGGGATCTCACAATAATAACCAAGTTGATAGTATAGATCTTCATTTATTCACAAAAGAGTACATAATTCAATGAAGATCATATTATTTGGGATGTTATTGGAACAGAGCTTGATTCAAACAGAACAGTTTAGGAAGCTATTGTTTGGGTGGTTAAATAATGGTTGGATTACCTCAATCCAATCAAATTTATCCGTACATGCACAGGAACAACATCAAGGAGAGACATCAATGAAAACATAAAGAATCATCATTTGCACAACAAGAGATTGATATTATACTCAACCAAACCATTTAACATTCATTAAATCGGGTACCTCTGACAGTGGAGTCCTGGGTGACCTGCCAACGATTTTAGTGCTTCTCTCTTTGGATATCTTTCCTGTTTGATTGGAAGAAGATGAGGAGTCACACTTCACTGCTGTGGGCTTAACTTGACGAGCAGCCTTCAAAGAGACCTTTTTGGGTGCCTCCAATGAACTTCTGGAATCAAAATATATCAAACAGGTTCAGGTAGGAGTAAAAGTTTTAGCACTGCTTTTTCCTATCACATGCTGTTAAGACAACCATTTTTTTTGTAGCAGGCAGCGAGATGAGACTATAAAAACCCGATATTAGGCCGATACACTGTTACGGAATGGTGGTGGAAAATAGTGTGTTAGAAGATGTTAGTGATGAACATATATTGAGATTGTTAGAGAATTAAGATTCTTGAAGGTTTGTCTCATCGTCTTCTTTGGACTTTCCTCTTATGGTTTTAAAACGTGTTTGCCATGGAGAGGTTTCCACACCCTTATAAGGAATGTTTTGTTCCCCTCTCACCCCTTGGAGACCAGCGTCCTCGCCGATACACTGCCCAATGTCTAGCTCTAATAACATTTGTAACAACTCAAGCCCACCGCTAGCAGATATTGTATTCTTTGGGTTTCTTTCCCTCTTGGGTTTCCCTCTAAGATTTTAAAACGCATTTGTAAGGGGAGGTTTCCACACTCTTATAAGAAATGTTTCATTCCCCTCTTCAACCAATGTGGGATCTCACAATCCACCCCCTTAAGGGCCAGCGTCCTCGACGACACACTGTCCAATGTCTGGCTCTTGTACTATTTGTAATACCCCAAGCCCACCGCTAGTAGATATTGTACTCTTTGGGTTTCTTTCCCTTCTGGGCTTCCCCTCAAGATTTTAAAACGCATCTGCTAGGGGGAGGTTTCCACACTCTTATAAGAAATGTTTCGTTCCCCTCTCCAACCGACGTGGGATCTCACAATCCACCCCATTGGAGGCCAGTCAGCATCCTCGCTCACACACCGCCCAGTGTCTTGACTCTAATACCATTTGTAACAGCCCAAGCCCACCACTAGCATATATTGTCCTCTTTGGACTTTCCGACTTCCTATCAAGGTTTTAAAACATATATGCTAGAGAGAGGTTTCTACACTCTTACAAGGAAATTTTTAGACAATCAAAATTGACAACGAATCGTCTTTACTTCCTGCTGGATGGTGGAAGGGCTTCGGGGTAACTAGTGTTAGGTACAAGTACAACATTGAGCGGCATCTTCAAACAAACAAAAAGAACGAAATGCTTGAAATCATCAAAAGAACGTTAATGAAACAACTTCAAACAAACTAATGAAAAACAACTACCATTAACTCCAACTTCCTACAATTGGATCAAACGTACATTCAACTTCAAACAGTAACACCCATTTCCAGAAACAACCAAGAACCATGTAAGAACCCTTTTGAGAAGAACAAAAAAATGAACAATCAGAAAGATGATTTGAACTTACCTGGGTTTTGAAGTCTGCATCACTTCCTTTCTGGAAAAAAAGATGTCAACACAATGGATTTGATTATAGATATCACAAGACAAGCAAGTCTGCAACAGATCGTGTTCATAGAGGAACCAAGAGGGTCAGAAAAATGGTGGAAATAACCTTTGATATCACAACCAAAAAAGAACAGAGAACTCTGAAGAACAGGCAAGATTGGAGAAAGTAAATAGTTCAGTCAGGTTTCAAGCACACTTCTTTAATATCAGGCCCTCTCTGTAATGGTGTCAAGGGCCTACAAGAGAGCGACAGATATGGCGGATGTAAAGTTCCAGAAATAGCCCTTCCCCACCTGTAAATTCCTTGCCATAGAGGTGCATTTTGGTAAATTTCAAGTTAACTTCCCTCCCAGTTTGGCCGTGAAAGAAGGAGAGAGGGGCATGAATAATTAAATGTTTTTGAGGGTTTGAAATTTGAAAACGCCGCATGAAAAGAAGAGTTTTTTTTAGGGTTTAGGTGGGGAAAAGAAAAGAAAACAAAAACTGCCCAAAACTTCTTGTTTTTTGTCGATTCATCACCAAATGCAGAACAATCAGGAAATATCTAATCCCCAAGATTTTCACATAACAAAACAAAACCCTAAAATGATGCTTCAAAATCAAGAGGAATGTCGCGATAAACAGATCAAATCAAATTGCAGTAAATTCAAAAGAGTATCATCGAATAGATCCAACGAGAAGGAGAAAATGGCAAACCTGGAGGAAATGAGAATTCAAGCAGCCATTTGTGCGGTGGAAGAAGGCTTAGAAGAAGAAGTGGACGAGATTTTGATATACTTTATTAAAGCGTTGAAAAGACCAAAAGCCTGCAAGTTTCAAGCTCTCGAGGTCCATGGCAGAGCAGAGATACGGTTTATTAATATTTTATATGAACAGAGTGCACTCCATATGATCGAAGAAACATCGCCAAATATGAAATCAAAGCAGCGTCGCAAAGAAACGAGGGAGAAGATAGATCATGGAGCCATTTGAGCTACTCACTAGGGAGTCTACTCGAATTCGTGCCTAAATAAGGTGATTAAAGTGAAAATGGAGAGTTTTAAGAATATAATTAAAAAATAATGCAAGTAATAACGACCTAAATAGCATATAAATTTACTGTTACTTATATAAAATTTAATTATAAATAGCTAGGTACGGCAGATTTGGTGCGGCGATCGATTGAAATGGACCCAAGAGTTTCAAGAACAGCCTCTCGGCTCTGGAGGCTATTGGCTTTACCATATCATGGCTGCAAATTTGTTGGTTGATTATTGATTGGATCGGATTCCAGACGATAGCCAAAGAAGACTCCGGCGGCTTTCGAGGCAAGTTATTCTAACCTATGATTTTGAACTAGTAGAACAGATTGAATCGCGATAATGGTCGGATCGTACAATGCTGAGAAATATCTTTGGCGTTTTAGTTTGGTTCGTCTTCTGTCTTAGGCTTGATATTTGAATATTCGTTTTTCTTACATCGATCTGTTTGCTGATCGTTCTTGAGGCGTACCTGAGGGCTGGTTCGCCTTCATCCATTACTGTAACTGAGACTGTACGGATGGATAGACTGTGATTGAATTTGCTTGTCTCTACTTGTGAGCCCTGGCTGTTGAAGGTGTTTTTAGCAACATTATTTTTGGAATGCACAGGGCATTTGTAACCATCCAAAACCATCCAAGTTCACCACCAGCGGATATTATCCGCTTTGGGTCGTTACGTATCGTTGTCAACCTCATGATTTTAAAACATGTATGTTAGGGAGAGATGTCGATACGTAACGGGCTGACGGCGATGGTGAGTCCACCGCTAGTAGATATTTTGTCATCTTTGGACTTTCTTTTCTAGAATTTCCCTCAAGATTTTAAAACGCATCTGTTTAATAGATGTTTTGTTTCGTTCTCGTATCGATGTAGGATCTCACATCATACAATTTGAAGGTAAGACACTGTCGATTTTGGCTCTACCTTTACAGCAGGACCTAGATGGATAACAAGTTTAAATGTGCTAGTGGAAATGGGCATGTTCACAGATGAGGTATTATCTCCAGCTTCTGCAGATGTAGGTGGGGATAGGTGAATATTCCACGATATGCTTAGGAGCTTTACATAGAATGATCACCGAGGGATTTTGTGAGATCCCTCCTCGGTTGGAAAGTGGAACGAAGCATTCCATATAAGGGTGTGGAAACCTCTCCCTAGCAAATGCAGTTTAAAACTGTGAGACTGATGGTGATACGTAATAGGCCAAAGCGGACAATATCTGTTAGCGGTGGGTTTAGGCTGTTATAAATGGTATCAGAGTCAGACACTGAGCGGTGTGCCAGCAAGGACGTTGGACGCCCAAGGGGGTGGATTGTGAGATCCCACGTCGGTTGGAGAGTGGAACGAAGCATTCGTTATAAGAGTGTGGAAGTCTCTCCCTAGCAAACGCGTTTTAAAATCGTGAAGTTGATGGCAATACGTAACGGGCCAAAACGGACAATATCTATTAACGGTGGGCTTGGGCTTGGACTGTTACACTATCGAGTTGGTTGTGATCCATGCTGGTATGTTGTAGCTCTGATTGTACACTTCCAATGAGTACTATCCCTTCCTCTTGCCTTGATACAATACAATTGACTGGAATGCTATTAGGATAAAGTGGTCGTGCAGGTTTGTGATTTAGAGCTCGAGGGATCTCAAGAGGGGAGGGTCCAAGTTCCTCAAATCACTTGGTTTATCTTATAAGTTCATCTTTTATATTTCAATATAGTTTGCCTCTAGTTTGGATTCTACCAAATTGGGTCATGGGCTACATAGTTGGCAAAAAGGTTAAATGATTGTGTGTTTATGAAATTCTTGTATGTTCTTACTTGAAGGCAAATCATCTGTCAAATAGGCTTCCCTTGTCATATCAGGAAAGTCTCTAAATGAGTTGGGCTTGTGATGAGATGCACCTCTTGGACCATTGTTCTTGATTCTAGAACTTTGTTCATCAGCTTTGATGATTTGGTAAAACCCGTTCTTTCCAACGTAACAGATTTGTAGAGCGTGGATTTCTCCAGCTCTACAGAAATGGAGGAATATAGTTGTAACAGTCCAATTCCACTTCTAGCATATATTGTTCTCTTTGGATTTTCCTCAAGGTTTTTAAAACACGTCTGCTAGGAAGAGGTTTCCACACCCTTATAAAGAATGGTTTGTTCTCCTCCCCAATTGATGTGGGATCTCACAATCCACCCTCCCCCGTCCTCGCTGGAACTCGTTCCCTACTCCAATCAATGTGGGATCTCCCAATCCACCTCCCTTCGAAGCCTAGCGTCCTTGTTGGCACACCGCCACGTGTCCACCCCCCTTCGGGGCTCAACCTCCTTGCTGACACGTCTCCCGGTGTATAGTTCTGATACCATTTGTAACAGCCCAAGTCCACGTCAAGAAAATTGGAACGATACAGAGAAGATTAACATGACCCCTGCGCAAGGATGACACGCACAAATCGAGAAATGGTAAAAAAATTTAATTATGAGATTCCACATCGGTTGGGGAGGAGAACGAAACATTCTTTATAAGTGTGTGGAAACCTCTCCCTTACAGACGCGTTTTAAAAACCTTGAGAAAAAGCCCGAAAGGAAAAGGCTAAAGAGAACAATATCTGCTAGCGGTGGACTTGGGTCGTTACAACGTGGTTTCCTCCCTTTCAACGGGCAATTTATTCCTATTTCTCCGTTTATTATGATGCAACCTTCATTTAGAGGCATGTGATGATAAACATCTTACTTTGTGGATAAGAGAGTATTCTTAAGCCACATAGATATGGTTCTATTCAATATTCCTCTATTCTTTGCGAGTTTTCAAAGATGTCTGACATTGAGAATATTAGGTACTTGGCTCTCATTCACCTAAGAGCTTAATTTCTTTTTTCTTCTATACTCAACCCTCAAATTAGCTTAAAGCCTAAAAGTTGTTTGATAGTGACAGATAATTTCTCCTTTAATAAGATATTGGACAACCAAGAACAATTTGCATTGAACAGTCCCCATATATGGATAAATAGTCACCCTCAGCCTGAACCTACCTCAGCTGAACAATTAAAACTAAAAGCTGACTGGCAAACCATGACAACGTATTGTCTCTCCCCCCGCTCCCGGTTAATCTCATACGTTGTCAATATATTACCTTGTACGACCCCATTTGATTGCCATTTTGTGATATCCCACCTTGGTTAGGGAGGAGAGCGAAACACCATTTATAAGGGTGTAGAAACTTTTCCCTAATAGACGCGTTTTAAAGCCTTGAGGGGAAGCTCGAGAGGGAAAGTCCAAAGAAGACAATATCTACTAGCGGTGGACTTGGGCCGTCATGCTCTTATAATCATTACCTTCATCTATGGAAAAATGTATTTTGAAAATTTACGTTTGTTTTTAGAATTTGACGAATAATTCAAATGTTTCCTTAAGAAAGATGAGAACAAATGTAAAAAAATCGTGAAAAAAGAAAAACAAAAGTAGGAACTGTGATGTCCCACATTGGTTGGGGAGGAGAACAAAACACCCTTTATAAGGGTGTGGAAATCTTCCCCTAGCAGACGTGTTTTAAAGCCTTGAGGGGAAGCTTGAAAGGGAAAGCCCAAAAAAGACAATATTTGCTAGCGGTGTGCTTGGACGGTTAGGCCAAGAACACTCTAGAAACCATTGAAAAGCAGCATTCTTACAAAGTCCTTGTGCCTAAAACGTGTGAACAGCTTATGAAGTCTAATTATCAAGAACACTCTAGAAATTTGAAAACTTTACAGCCACTTCTAAATCTGATGAAATCAAAAGTTAAAAGAAAACCATGGGAGCTGCAAAACACTGGCTATTTCATACCTTTTTTCTTTTTTTTTTTACCTTATCTTCTTGGGAGCTGTAGGTTTGAAATTTTGCAATGGTATCAATTCAATGTCCATCTGTATGGGTCTTCTACTGCTGTGCTGGCTGTGTTCATATGTTTTTCTTATTCATACGTTTGAAAATTTCAGCCAAGTGTCAAGAATTAACACACTGGTCTTCGCCGCCCGCAAGTAGGCGGCTGCTTTTAGGATTAATTACCATGATTGAATCTTTATGTAGTAATTACAGGCCCTGCCATTAGCTTTTTTGAAGATGATCATGAACCTGAAGAGTATAATGTCAATATCATGTTCACTTTGTAACATTAATGTTGCATATTTATTAAGTTTGCAACCTACAACTTTTCCTTGTTGCTTGTGTTGAAGGGAATGTTCAACTTTGACTAGCTTTGATCTAAACATCTGTTGCCGTATAATTGAAGTACAGTTGGAGGGATGAGAATGCCGCCACTGTTATTCACCTTGATTATGATATTTCTTTCACTGGCAGGTGGCAGACATGATATTTACCTAACGGAGGAGATTTGAGTGTGTTTACGTGAGATCCCACATCGGTTGGTAGAAACCTCTCCTTAACAGACGCGTTTTAAAAACCTTGAGGGAAAGCCCGAAGCCCGAAAGGGAAAGCCTAAATAGGACAACATTTGCTAGCGGTGGGCTTGGGCTGTTACAAATGGTATCAGAGCTAGACACCGGAGTCTCGAAGGGGGTGGATTGGGGGGTCCCACATCGATTGGAGAAGGGAAAGAGTGTCAGCAAAGACGTTGGTCCTCAAAGGGGGATGGATTATGAGATCCCACGTCGGTTAGAGAGGAGAATGAAACATTCCTTATAGGGTATGGAAACCTCTCCCGAACAGACGCGTTTTAAAGACTTGTTATTGTGTAGTTTGGTTTTTATGATTCAGTAATGGATTTCTTGATCTAACAAACCTTTTAAAAGCTTATAAGTTGCAAAGTATCTACGTGAGCATCACGTTCAGAACATTTTTGCTTTTCCACAGCCATATATGACATTTTCTTTTCTTTTCTTTACATTTATCCGATTCACACCATTGTATTCATCTTAAGATTCTTGGTTATAAGAATAAGTGATTGTCGTTTTCCAATGCAGTTGTCTGCCACTTTTGCATACCGAACGTATCGTTGGAGTAATCGTGTAGTTCCTGCGGAGTGCAAAGATGGGGCGATCCAGATCATACGAGCTTAAAAGAGAAAGGCTGCATAGGTCCACACGGAAAGAACTGTTTCTTGAAGTGGCATAGGCGAAGATGGAATGGGGAATATATCACAAGTCTAAAGAAGGTACACGGATTTTTCTCAGTAGTGGAAAATATTATCACATAAAGTTAGAATCCAATAGCAATATTACAGTTGGCAGAATCTCTATCTCTCTGTAATGTGAAAGGGTCATATGTATAAGTATGTTATTAAATGGTGTTTAGAAAGGTGGTGGTGGTGGTATTAGGAGTAGAAACATAGAGCATTGTTTCAGTGGTGGGAGCAGCCACCCACCACTGCATGTATTGACTCTTTTTTAACTCATAAAGCTCTAGAAAAGGTGGTTTGGTAGTAATTAGTTAAGTGGGACTTTCTCGTTGAAAAAAATATTGTCAAAACTTGTAACAACCCGAGCCCACTGTCAGTAGATATTGTCTGTTTTGGTCCATTACGTAGTTTCACGGTTTTAAAATCCATCTGTTAGGGAGAGATTTCCGCACTTTATAAGAAATGTTTCGTTTCCCTCTCTTACCGATGTGGGCTCTCACAATCCACTTCCCTATTGGCACTATGCTCTATGTCTGACTCTAATACCATTTGTAACAACAGTCCAGATATTGTCCACTTTGGCCTGTTATATGTATTGTCGTATCATTTGTAACAGTTCAGATATTGTCTACTTTGGCCCGTTGTTTATCGTCGTTAGCTTTGTAACAGCCCAAGACCATTGTTAGTAATGGATTAATGAGGTGTGTTTAATGTAGGAATGGATTAAAATAGTTAAATTACAAATCTAGCGGGTTTATTAGTTATTATATGAACCAATTATTATTGCAACATGATCGTGTCATTTAATGTTAGGTGTTCAAATTCTGATGATTATTGTAACAACTCGAGATCATTACTACCAGATATTTGTCGACTAGCCCGTTCGGTATCGCCCAAAAAGCATAATGGGAAAACAAAAAGTATTATGTTATTAATTGAGTTTGAATTTGTGGTGTTAGTTTATGACTCTAAGTCCAATAAAATTGGAAATAGAGATAAGAGATAAGGGTGTCTCAAATCACAAAAGTCATATAATTGGAAAATCAGGCATTTGATTACTGAATTAAATAAGGAAAAAAAAATCCCTTTAATTTTCAACCATGCCACTAAGCCTTCATACTAATTACTAAGATCAACATTAATAATGATTAGCTATTAATCTTAATTTCAAAATTAGTCATAATTTTTTTAGAATTATAAGTCATAAATTATATATATATATATATATTAGGTGAATTATGCTTAAATTGGTATTAACATTTTAATTAAATAAAAATAAAAATAAAAATTTAAAATAATTAAAGATATTTAAATATTTTTAATATACTCTCATCTCAACTAAAAGTCAAAAGTTCGGATCTAACTACAGCTTAAAACTTGACCATGTGGTCTAACCACAGCTTAAAACTTGACCATGTGGTAGGACCGGGGAAGTTTCTCGTGGCTCCCTTGGTTTTATTTTATTAAAAATTGAATTATTTTATTTCTTTTAAATAGATAAAATACCGTTTCTAGAGAAGGGGTCTTGTCTAAACCAAAATAGTTTTCACACACATAATTACAAAAACCCAAAAATGTAAAATAATAAATAATAAATAAATAAAATAAAATAAATTACAAACCTAACTAATTAGAATTAATGACGCAGCCCCATCCAAAAGATTTAACCATAATTTTCAAACTTCTTCATTTCATCGCCTTTTCTTTTCTCGTTTTTTTTTTTTTTTTTTTTTCTATTTATATCTCTGTTTTTCCCTCTGAAACTCCAAATCATCTCTTCTTCTTCTTTTCTTTGCTCCGATTCGTTGGAAATGGAAGGCAGTGATTCAATCATCACCCTTTCATCAACTCCACCATCTCAATCTCCTTCCTCTTCTTCTTCTCCGGCACCGCCGCCGCCTGTCGTTCTCAGTCCATGTGCGGCCTGCAAGATTTTGAGGCGGCGATGTGCTGAGGGATGTGTATTGGCGCCCTATTTTCCTCCCACTGAGCCGGCGAAGTTCGCCATCGCTCATCGTGTTTTTGGCGCTAGCAATATCATCAAATTCTTGCAGGTCTTTTTTTCATCCGCTTTTTACAGTTTGTGAATTCGTGATTTCTGTTTCTTTTGACTGTGAATGATTTCTGACTGTTACGATCGCTTAGTTTGAAGATTAAATCAATGGATTAGGGCTGAAAATGTGCGAACTAGGACCTTGTTGCTTTCTTTTTTTTCCATTTCACGTTAATTTGTATGTTAATATGAAACAGACTGTGAAAAGCCGTTTAAGGAGACTCGAACAGGATTGTCAAAAAAAGAAGGCAAAAGGTTGTACACATGGAGAAACTGTGCAGTGAGATTTGGAAAATGAAATTTCTAAAGTTGTCTTTTCTTGAGATTTCGTTAGAAGAGCCGTAAATTAATTGAGCAAGCAAAATGGATACATATGAGACTTTTCTAACGTTTTGTTTGATCCTAATACTTTCTTCCTTGTGTCTTTTCAGCCACTTGACCGATTAAACATCTCAATTTCGATCTCTATACTAAACGTTAGATTATATTTCGATTAACATGTTCACCTAATTTATAATATAGCTTTTTCAAGTGTGGAAGTTTGAAAAGTAGTTGAACCAATCCAACCATTGTTTCACACCAATACCTCTGGTTCTGTTTGTTTCATTCCTTTTGCCTCTTGAAAATCTAGCATAAAAAACTTCAAACAGAGAGAGATTGTCCATTACAGTTTACAATACAAGAAGAACTCTCAGAAATATCCAATTTGTTATGAACTGAAAATTTTTCCTGGGACTTTGATTCTACAGGAACTGCCTGAATCTCAAAGAGCAGATGCAGTGAGCAGCTTGGTTTATGAAGCGAGTGCGAGGATCAGAGATCCTGTTTACGGATCAGCAGGTGCCATTTGCCAACTCCAAAAGCAAGTCAATGAGCTTCAAGCACAGCTAGCCAAGGCCCAAGCAGAGGTCGTCAACATGCAATGCCAACAAGCCAATCTCGTGGCCTTCGTTTGCAGGGAATTAGCTCAATCTCATCAGTCTTCTTTTGATGATTTGAATGCCGACTCTCACAGTGGCTTATTCCACAGCATCAGCAGCCCAAGCTACTTCGATGATACCAATGTAAACCCACTGTGGGAACCTCTCTGGACATGAACTATTTTACCTTTTTTTGTGCATGTAAGGTGTTTGATAAAAAGTTCCAATGAAGTTTCTCCAAATTCAAGCCAATTTGTGCTTGTGGGTAGGAGAGACTTCGTGGAAAATACAACACAATTTTACTTTCTTTCTTGTTATGATCAATTTAGTACTCAAATGGACAAAAAAAGAGGCAAACCAAAGCTTCATTAGGGACACGTCTTTTTCCATAATCTCTCTGTTTAGGCCAAAAAAGAAGGAAAAAAAAAAAAAAAACAATACATCTGTCTTGGCATAATCAAAGTGAAAGCGAAGTATACCAATCAATACTATCCAAACAGATATCTATATATATCTATATATATATATTCTTATATTAATCTTTATAAATATGATTATAATACGATTACACTGCTTCGTTTTATCAATCACCCACCTCATAAAATCGTATAATTCGACTTTTAAAAATAGTAAAAAACATGGGCAACCTTCTAAAGGTATTATTATATTGCTCTTGTTCTTAAATTATTACAATCAAACCCAAAATTTCAATTTTTTTGCACTAATTTTATAATTTCCAAATTTATCGAATTAAAGTAATAGAGTTGAATTATAGTAGCTCAATAAGCGTTTAATAGTAAGTTTTGTACGTTTAACATGGGTGATTAATCAAAATTTAAAATTTTAAAAATATGATTTTAATTATCGTTATTTCGTTTAATTATGGTCGGAACCTAGTGTAATATCTAAAGTCGTCAATGACTATTTTAAAGATGAATGGTTCCATCCCCATCAATACAAATTATTGCTTTTTTAAAAAAATATCATTAAAAAATATCACCAAAATAATTATAATTGCAATTCAAAACTACATTTTAGCTTTCTGGTGACCTACTTATTTTTTTTTTTTCCGTCGATAATTAAATATTCTGATCAGAAATAAAAATAAAAATAAAATAAAATAAAGTTGAAAATCGTCAAGAGCGTTTGTTTTGTTCAAGAAAGTCAAAAGATGGTATTGACCAACACAGACAAATCCAACCATAATGTTGTATTTTGTCTTTTGGATGTTGTTTGTTAAGATTGGTTAATTCTCCTTTAAAAGTTACGGTTCTGTAAATATTAATTTATTACTGTCCTTTTGTCCCCCATCTTTTTCAAAAAGTTACTTTCTTTATCCTCTTTGATTAATCATGATGTAGCACAATATCAAATTTATTGGTTTAGGAGTAACTTAATTTTTTTTATTTTTTAAACTGAGTGAAAAATTACGACCACTTTTTTTAAACTAAAGTTTTATCACTTTTTTTATTTGATTACTTATCAATCAGTGATGTTAATGTGTTCAACTTTTGTTGTAATAATTTAAGTACACCGCTAGCAGATATTGTTTGCTTTGACCCGTTACGTATCGCCATCAACTTTATAGTTTTAAAACGTGTCTACTAGGGAGATGTTCGTTCCCCTCACATTTTCTCTCAATTTTAGCTTTTGTTTTGTTTTTGTTTCTAGCTCGTGCTTTGTCGTCATAAAGCTTTTCTGCATATTTTTCGTAAAAATTTTATTTTCTCACTTTACAGTGTCTTACCATGTTCAATTGACAAAATCTTGTTGCTAGCTTTAGTTTTTAACCATAGCGTTTCGATTTGTAAACATACTAGAAGGTCTAGAACGACAATGCACCTTACAACACTGAGAGAAAATGGTGATATTAACCTTCGGAATCTTCAATGACATTAGATTTTATTCTAGGATTTTCGTTCTTTGTTCTTTCAAGACGACAATGATTGACAGAAAAAGGAAGACAGTAACAGTAAGATTCATGATTCAAAAAAATAAAAAATGAGAGACAGAAAGGAAATTTGAGAAGAAAGACGAAGGTCGACCTCGAGATTCAACAGTCACCAACATAACTGTCATATTATTTTTTTCACAAGACAATTAACAAATAAATAAAATAATTCAAAAAATTTCTTATTATATCAAACTAAAAATAAATTAATTACAAGAAAAAATAATAAATATATGAAATATATTTCAATTGGTTAAAATATTTATTAATTAATTTAAAATGAAATATATTAAATATGGAAAAGACATCAAAGCTCAAGTCTTTTGAGCCTTTTTATAAACATGAAAAAGAAAGAGGGAGAAAATTATAAATTTTTCCATAGGGTAATTTACTAATCTACCCTCGCGTGAAATTGATCATTTAATTTCTTTAATATGTAATTATTTGCAAATCACTAGGATTAAATTGTAATTTAGCTTCCAAAATTAAAATTAAACCAATAAATTACTTTTTTTTTTTTTTTAATAAAGTTGAGTTTCCTTTATAATATTTACCAACTTTTTAACTTTAACCATTCAGATGGGTGAGTTGAATTATTATTTTGAAAGGGAGGTAAATTCAAATTTTGCCGCGTTAATTTTATCATAATAATAATAATTTTTAAATTTTAATTATATAGTTTTAATTTTGTAAATATTTTTAAATTTTATCAAATTAAATAGATGATCTTCGAGTATTCAGAAAGGACGTGAACATTATCAATTTTGTAAGTCTACTTTGATGGAGGCTAAACTTGTAATTTAATTTTTTTATTAAACAAATTAAATTACAAATTTAATTCCTCTATTTTTTATTTAATCTTTGAAATTTAGAAAACTACGGTATCTACTAAAATTAAAACTTAAATTCAGATCAAATGATTTAAAAAAATTAAAAAATTTAAAAAAAATTAGACCCAAAATAAATAAATAAATATTTAAAATTCTATTTAATAAAAAATTAAATTATTTAAAATTAGATGAATTAAAAATATATATAAATTTAAAAAATAAACCAATAAATTTATAATTAAATAATTAAATAATTAAAAAAGGAAATAACATTAAAGATCCCACCAGTTTGTAGAATAAATTAAGTCAAACTTTGAGTCAAACAAAGGCTTCTACTTTGTCCACATCCTTCTTTCCCCATCTGACTGTTTAAACAGAAACATGAAATTTTGCAAATTTTTTTTTAATTATGGAAAAAATATGGTCTATTTCTGAAATTTGACCTTTTTTTTCCCCAATTTTAGTGTAACATGAAATGAAGGGTTATTTTTCAAATGAAATTCTATAATTTTGACCTTAATTTAGCTCGGGAGAACGTGACAATACCTGACATCCAAGTAAAACAGGTGTACATGAATAAACCGATACTACATCCAAATTAGAGAGATTTTAAAGATATGATACTAAAAAAAGACTTAAAATAATTGAAAGTCACTCCCTCCTGTAATCAATATGAATAAGAAAAATTTTAATAATCTTTTTTTTTTTTTAAGGAATTAAACTTATAAAAATTTAAAAAATAGGAATTATTTAGCACAAAATAACGCGTGTACATAGTGAGGGCTTGTAACACGTGTACGTACTATCTCCTCTTGGTTGGTGAGCTGCCTTGCTTAGTTGGTGAACACTTTTCACATGGACCAATCTTTTCACGAAGATCGAGATCGGGTTCATGTTAAATCATGACTAAACGAGATCAAGAGTAATGGAAGCTCGAGAGAGAAATAATCCTACTCGGTTTCTTCGTTTTGTTATCCACAAAATGGAAGCTCGATCGAGATCGGGTTCATGTTAAATCATGACTAAACTCATATTAAAAAAATGTGAATTGATATATTACATCATATTAATATTTATTTGAATAGTAATTATTTTATTTAAAATCAAACATTATATTAAATTTGAATATTAAAAGAGAAATTGATATAAATAATTAGAAATTTATTTATTTATTTAAAATTGGCTTACCTTTTATGTACTATATAAGACTACGGACGTTGCAAAGGAATAAAGCAAAAGGGGCTGCGGACTTGAAATTCAAAGTACACCCAATTTTCCTCATCAATTTCAAAGTACAGCCCTTTTTTAGATCCCACAGTCAATATTTATTTATTTATTTATTTTACAAATTGTAAAACGCTTATATTGTGGAGAGGGTCTAGCCCTACTCTGATCAGTGTCTAGCACGATTCAGTAACTAGCTTGGATACTACTTGTAACAGTTCAAAGTTCACCGCTAATAAAAAGTACCCGTTTTGACTTGTTATGCATCACCATCAGCCTCATAATTTTTAAGTGTTTCTATTAGAAACAGATTTTCATATTTTTATAAGGAATTGTTCGTTCTCCCTCTCTAACTAATGGGTGATCTATCGAATTTTAAATTAATTTAATGTTTAATTTTTAATTAAAGAAATGTTTAAATGGATTAATAGTGATTTTTAATTATTAAAAAATATGAATGTGTGGGCTAACTACCCATGAAAAATTTGGGCCGACAACAGGGGAGTACCCAGTTCGTTGGATTTGAGCTTGGGCCTATGATTAACTTCCAAGCCCATCCGAAAATTTTCAATTCATACCCTAAAATTCAAGATGTAATATCAAATATGCGTGCGGAAATCTTTCTCTAATAGACGCGTTATAAAGCCTTGAGGAAGGCCGAAAGAGAAATCCCAAAAAGGACAACACTTGCTAGCAATGTGCTTGGGTTATTACAAATGGTATCAGAGTCAGACACTGGACAATGTGCCAGCGATGAGGTTGTTCCCCGAAGGGGGAAGACACGAGGTGGTGTGCCTGTAAGGACACTGGGCCTTAAGAGATGGATTTGATGGGGTCCCATATCTCTTAGAGAAATGAACGAGTGCCGACATTGGACTATGTACTAGCGAGAAGGTTGTTCCTCGAAGGGGGAAGACACGGGAAGTGTGCCTGTAAGGACGCTGGGCCCCGAAAGGAGATGGATTTGGTGGGGTTTCATATCTCTTAGAGAAATGAACGAGTGCGAGCGAGGATACTAGACCCTGAAAGGGTGAACTGTGATATCTCACATTAGTTGGGGAGGGGAATGAAACACTATTTATAACGGTGTGAAAACTTTTCCATAATAGATGCCTTCTAAATATACTTTATAAGGTCTGCTTGAATCGTTATATATATATATATATATATATATATATATATATATATATAAATTTTTAGAAATGATCTCATATATATTATATAGGATTGAATTTATTAAAATGTTATATGCTTTTAATAAATATTTTCTTTTAAAACTAAATATTTAAAATAAATTTTATTTTTAATATTTAAAATTTTAAAAATTATCTCGTATATATATTATATATGATTGAATGTATTAACATGTTAT